CTAAATCGCCGACAAAAATACGAATCAGCAGTTGGCACATAAGTAAAACTGATGTCTAACTTAATGAGAGGTTGTGCTTTTTGATGGCCCCATAAGGTCCCCTTCCCTTCCCAACTTTATTTATATAAAAAACCGCCATATTCTTTTCGGGCGTACGTACAACAACCAGTTTGTCCAGGCCCAGACCCACTTCAACAATACCCGATTTGGTTGTCCCAGGGTGAAAGAAACTTTTCATTGTATGATTATATAAATTATGGGTCCTGGCGTTGCGGTTGACCGATTCACATCGAAGTAGTACTTATGAAGGTGGGAGTTGCTTCCGGAATAAGGCAAAACTCCAAAGAATTCCCAATAGTTAGTTCTCGTAGACGCCTACCTGCTAGCCCTAAATGAGTTGTGCCCATTTGAAAATTAAAGTGAGAAACTTTTATCATGTTTCAGCAAGTGTACGAAGTATCAGAAAACTCAGAGCCTGTTTTCTGGCCAAATAATCGGAAAGATGTGAGGCAAACTCTAGTCTTCTTATTCAAAACATGGAAAGCAGTACGCGCGGCCAATGGCTGGCTTTTGGTTAGGAGTATATAACAATCTTTGGCGAGGTCTGGTTCTGCATCCCCACTTAATTGATGCCATATGAGCATTTTACTAAAGCAATTTCAGTTAACATACCTAACTTAGCCACTCGCTGGATTAGAAAGGGAAAGAAGATGCAAGAGCAGAGCTCGAAGCACGCGCAGGGAAGCGACTGAAGGTGGCGTGTACACAATCCCCCCTCCGACACAACCACTCGCTGGATTAAGATGTGTGGGGCATAGTCGCAACTGGAAGACCACTGAGGGTACCGCGTGGTAATTAGCAGTGAATGACCACTGGAGTGGAACTGACAAAGTTCCACACCGTCGAAACAATTCCATTAGCAAGTCCACTTGGCCATTCTTCGGATTAAGATAATGAAGGGAGAGCCGGCAGGACTCGAACCACGCAGAGGGAGGCACATGTGAACTGATAACTAAAGTAACTGGGGCTGGTGTGTAATCTTTCCTCCCCATAGCACAGGCACTCGCTAGAGCACAGAGGTAGGGAAGATGAAAATACGTGATATTTGCAGGGTTGGCGAGTTTGTGCCTACCTAATTTTTTTAGAAAGCTAACCATATGATATCACTCAAGTGGAGCTGCACGACCAAACCTAGCCCTAATTTTTGATGCCAATGGAAGGGCAACTTTCCCTCCCTGTCGCACTGTGACTTAAACCCACTACTTCTCACCTACGTCCACATCGCCTTGTTGCCTCATGCAAACTTCTCTACCAACTTCGTCCTAGAAACTCTGCACCGAATCGACCTCCCTACTCTAGGCAACAGAAGTGGTTCACAAGGGACTGCTCTGCAAACGTCTCACGGGCACTGCCGCTGTTTTTCTCACATCAGGCGGTCAACAGTTGATCGAACTCCAGGATCTGGAGGCCCAGTTTGAAGCCGTATACGACAACCTCCTCGACAGCGCAATAAAACACTCCTCTGCGGTCACCGATGCCGTGGCAGCGGAAAGTACCAGGTAGGGAAGTGCTATCAACCTTCCTGTATGCAGCGTTTCCATAAGCATTTAGAGTCTTTTAAGGGATTGTCTTTAACCGAAAATATATTGCATTGCAAAAAGAAACCTACCACAATGGAAGGCTGTAAGCTGTTTTAGCTACTCTAGGTTTACTTCAGTGACAGTTGAGACTTGGGGAAAATCAGTGTAACACTTCTATCCCGCACTAGCGTGCGAAGGAGAAGCTCAGTGAAGTCTCCGACTCTCCTAGCTCTTATGCGCCTACAGGGAGAGTCAGTTACCTCATTGCCGGCTGGAGGTTTTATTTTAGCATAAATGACGACCAATACGGCTGCCTTGTGTTATTCCGCAGTATTCGTGGAAGCATCTGAAAAGCTGGAAGACTCTAATGTCCTCTTAACAGTCTTCTTCGACAGACTAATTAAGCGACATCTTTAACTGGCCTTCATTTGCCCAAAAGAGCTTCCTCTTTGGATTAAAAAAGCATGGCAAAACGATGACGATTTCACTCACCCTGGCGTAAATCATACGCGTCTCTCCAGTCTCCTCCACTGCATCATCTTCTTCCGCCATTCGAGCGGTCTGCGTTGAAATGAAGTAAACGGAGGGGACGGTCTAGCCTCCGTTTGGTGTTCTCATCCACTTGTAAGTGACACCACCCTGTTGTTTAAAATCAATATCCGAAAGCAGACTGCGCAGTATGAGGCATGGTCACGAGACCCGCCTCTAGTAAGTTCACTTGTATTTTTCAGAGCTCGATCCGAGTCAGCTGGGGTTTGTTGCCTGCATCTCTACGCAGCCGATCCCCCCTATTCTCGGAATGGGGGTCTAGAACGGAGTCAACTCCGCTGCCAACAGGCGTAAGGTCTTCATGTCGGCCGCCTTCTGCTGCTACTGGCTAGGAATGTTAAAAATCTGAACTTTAACTT